ATATCCATTTTCTAACAAAAAATCAAAAGATTTTGAGTTTTTTTTTCAACTTTTGATTTTTAGTTCAATTTTTACCTAAATCTTGGTGCTTCTGCAGCCTCCCCACCTTCGCCGAGCATGATCCGGTGCTTCCGCAGCCTCCGCGACGGTGGTTTCAAACAAATGTTTTATTTATTGGTTTAAAGAATTTCCAACGTATACATGTGGTGGTAGACTTATTGGGTAGTTATGATAGATTTATAAGTTTTTTTTTTTTTAGGTTTCAGGATGGCAGCTGCGTAAATAAAATAGATTATTAAAGTTTATTTGTCTTTTATCGAGTTGTGTCAAATTACTAGATTTGACAAAGTCATTCTAGTAATTACCCTACTTTCCAAAGTCATTTTAGTAATTAATTCAATTTTTTAAGTAGAACTTTATAATTTGAGATTCTTGTAATAGGACATGAGATTTTAGTACAGTCCTTATGCTATCAGATGACTAGTTTCTTTTTTTGTATGATGGTATTTGCTTTGTTTTCATTTAGGAGCAATGGTTGTGCTTAGATAAGGTTTAGCTTTGCAAAATCTTCTCTTTATCCACTACAAAATGTTTGAGACTGAAAATTTTCTTGGTTTATTAATCAACAAACTCAAATTGATAAAACATTTATTAATCAATAAGCTCAGTAGTTCACAAAACACAAAATAAAACAGAGAAAAACAGAATGTCTTACATCATATTCTACATATGAATCATACACAAAAATCCAGCATATAGAATGTGAAATAATCTTTTTTGTTTGATCAAATCACTTCAAAGTATCAGAAGGCAAGAAACTAAACATGACCATATCTATTACACTTCTCTTAATACATATAAACTTCCTCATCACACCTTCTCTAGTAAACCCAACTTTTCCAAGAACCCTTTGAGATCCAACATTCTCTACGTCGACAAGTGCCTCAAGTCTCTCAATCTCCGGCATTTCCTTGAATATCCCTATAATTCTGTACAAAGAGATTCCTGGCGGAATTGAATATTCATGAATTATATAAGTCACCACTGTTTTGACTAGTGGCGGAGGCAGAATTTTTTTTCGTCGGAAGCATAAATACTAAGAAAAATATAAAACTACATAAATAGAGTGTGAAAACTAACGGCGTAACCGTAAGACGTAATCGATGTTGTTAAGACATTTTTTCATGAATTTTTTAATTGGTGAAATAAAGAGACGGAGGAAAAATATTTTTAACAAATGGGGGCATTAATATTGGGCTTTGATAATTTACACTAATATAAAAAAAATTATTTTGGTTCATTGGCTCCCATCTTATTACATGTGCATTTGACCCAAAAAAATAAATAAAAAAGTCACCACTAAAAATATTCTAATTTTAGTTTGGGCTACATGGGCTTTTCTCTTAACGCACAATCGAAACCTAGACATTTTATAAACGTTTTGAACTCGGTGGAAATTAGCTAGGTGGTTTAAAGCACTTTTTCTTCGCCATTAAATCGCGGAGGATCGTCTAATCAATATACCAAATGATCTCATTATCGAAATACTCTCGAGATTGCCTGCTAAATCAATAGCCAGATGTCGTTGCTTATCGAAGCTATGGACTTCCATACTTCGCAGTTCAGATTTCACAGAGGTGGTCTTGACCAAATCTACGGCTCGGCCTCACCTCTTGTTCGCCTGCCAAAACAACAACAACGAGTTGTTATTCTTTTCGGCAACTCAGCCTCACAATCCTGATGACAACTCGTTTCCTTTAGCCGTAAGTTATCATTTTAAATTCCCTTTTGACAGTAAAATTTCCTGTTACGATGTCTTTAAATTAGCTATTAGTCCTATCAGAGGCTTGGTCTTTATTAGTGATGTGGGGGATCGCATTGGAAAAACATGGATATGTAACCCTAGCACTTGGCGAATGTTAACCTTACCCCAATATAGCGATGTACAGATGTTTCATGGGGTACAAAGCTACATTGGGTATGATCCGATTGAGAAACAATACAAGATATTGGCTACGACCACGGTCTTTCATTTTCATTATCGTGGAGAAGTAGAGGGAGAAGTACAGTCTGAGGAGTATCAAGTTCTGACAGTGGCAACTGGAAAATTGTCATGGAGGAAGATCGAAAGTTGCATACCCCACTGTCCTTTACATAGCGGGATATGTATCAATGGTGTTCTGTATCATCCAGCTGCGACCACTAGGTATTCGCCAGATTGCATGGTAATTTGCTTTGATGTTAGGTCTGAAAAATTCAGATCTATTTCAGTTATGGGAACCTTCATTAAAGAAGTACTCCGCAACGGAATTCTGATAAACTAAATTGGTAAATTAGCAGCCCTTGTGGCTCTAGGGTCTAAATATGTTAATGGGAGAACAAAAAGTTTTAGACGCTGAAAAAGATGAATGGTCAGAGCATACATACGTATTGTCGGCTTCGTGCAGGAATTACATTTCGAAACAAATGTTTACGTTTTGTTGGTGTTACTCGTACAAAAGAGATTGTGTTGTCGTCACACCACCAAAACCGAACTGGGCCCTTTTGTACATATACTACTACAATATCGAGAGGGGCACGGTCGTAAGAGTTGAAATTCAAGGAATCAAAGGGTTTAAGGGTAATAAAGTTAACATCTATCTGGACCATGTCGACGATGTGAAGCTTAGGTAAATGTTTTAAGTAGGATTTTATAATTTGAGATTCTTGTAACATAACAGTGAC